TCTGATGCTACAGACACAGTTTTGGTTGCAGATTACTTCTGTAACGTAGATGAAGACAAAGCAAACCAGTCGTCAGGCGTTATTCAGAAGATTCCAGGATTGTATTTCAGTTCAGTATGTTCTGCCTCTTCAAGTCCTGCAAAAAAAAACAAAAAAAACAGCATTTTTGCAGATACTGGGGTTTAGTAAGCTTGAGGTAGTTGGATCATCTTGTGTTCCTTTCTGTCTCTTACTGTCTGTGTGGAGAGCGGTGAAGCTGGGGAGATTAACTGGAGGACTGACACATGAAGCAAAAAATAAATTAAAAAAACTGAATGAAATATGTGATCTATCTTTGTCAAAGTCAGTCTGAGAAACTGGATTGACAAAAGGACGCTCCGCCTCTTCACACTGAGCCCACCTTCACTGGGGCACCGTTGAGTAACAAACATTTCAGTCGTGCATTCATACTGTACGTACAATGATGAGCCTTACCTTGATTGCAGCTTTACTCTTCAGTAAGTACTGAGTAGTAGTCTGTTTGTTCTTTTTGTTTCTTTTAGTACAAACATTTTAAGCTTTCTTACAGTTAACTACAAATCGTTTTTCATGTTGTCCCCCTTCAGGTCTGCTGTCTGTCTCAGTGTCTGAGTTTCACACCGTGGATGCTCAACCTGGTGAAGAAGTCACACTGCTGTGCTCCAATTTCACCCTTTTCCCCTTGCACATAACCTGGTTCAGACTGAACAGCACATCCAACACCAGCAGAATCTCCTCTCTGTCCAGCGCCGATAAGAAAGCTTTTTTCTTTGGTGAATTTCAAAACAGCAGCTTTGACGTGACATCCAACAGCACTCATCTGTTTCTCAAGATGAAACAGGTGGATTTTAGTCACTCTGGACTTTATTTCTGTGGATTTGCCTCAGAAGGAAATTCAGTTATTGTAAGTGCAACGTACTTCAAAGTTCAAGGTAAGATGGTATTTCTTTGTTGCCTTTTTTTAATCGATGGAAACAGATTTTTATACAAAATAATGACATGTCTTATAATTTCTCTCGCAGAAGCATTCATTGGTAGAGACAACTATCTGAATATGATCCTGGGTGCTCTGGTTGTTTTCCTCTCTGCTGTCATCTTTACTCTGGTTGTACTCATCAGAAAACCTCAAACAGGTTGTGCTATCATTTGGACTGCAAATGCAAAACTTTCTGTGTGCCACAAAGTGTTAACAGTAATATGAAGCAGCAGTTTATTGACAGGATGTTCTGCTTCTGTCATTTAGCGCGTAAAGAGGACCAGGATCCACAGCAAAGTGAGGTATTACATTTTTGGCTTAGATTAAAGGTGCACTATTTAGATTTTGTAGTGAAATTTGAACGTTTGAAAAGTTAAACAATTTTATATTTTCTGAACTAAAGACACAAACTTTATACCCAGGAAAAAAGGGTGTCTGGAACACTGTTTGGAGCTAAAAAGCTACCAGGATAGTTATGTTTTCAATGTTGCGGGCCCACCACCATAACTTCCCGCTTAGCCTTTTATCTTCAAACAGTGTTACAGGGACCAAATGTTCCTCTGATGAGTTTGTGTAAAGAGTTATGAACATATACCACCTGTACACTTCTCCAACTTTCACATTTCTCTACCAAAACTCCACAGTGCGCCTGTAAGTTTGACTGAAGTCTATTTCTTTACGTTTTCTGCTTCATTTATCTTTTCATGTCGTGTTTGATTTACAGAATGTGGCTTCTGAGACGTGAATTACGCAGCGCTGAGTTTTCATCACAAGCAAAAAGCAGAAGAAGGCCTGCAGCTGAAAACGAGCTGGAGACACATGTTCTTTATTCAACAACCAGATAGACTTTCCAAATCTGTTTGGTTTCAAACTGTAAGGATAGAGTTTCTCTCCATATACCATTGTCAACTCTCTCTTTTCTTTTGAAGTTTGAATCTTTGGTCAAAGATTACAGCAGCCAGTAAAGACATGGATGTCCTTTGTACTATTTTCTTTATTGCATAACAGCACTGTGCTTTAGATTTGCTGAAAATGAAACTTGATTAAAACACAGCAGGAATTTGCATGGGGGACACACAGGCAGGGAAGAGTTGGTGTTCTATCTGCATACAAGACCCTATCCTCTGCATCTGGGATGCTAACCTTTTATGTGTGAAGTGGATGGACCCCAGAGAAGTGTCCATGTGCACCATTGTAAAGTTGGGAGGCATGGAGTACAAAGACCAAAAAGTGGGGAAAGGGGAGCTAAAGCATTTACCAATAGCACATTGTATGACATTATTAGAGTAAAAAAAATGTTTTAAAAAAAATCCAGGCAGCCTGTACAAGGTTTAGTTGTTAAAGTTAAGAAGGGGGGGCTTTTCAAATAAAGTATGTAAATTGTTGAAGTTTGAATCATATTAAAACATACAAATACAACTGGTATTTGTTGTTGTGTTTTAAAGAAAACGTCTTGGCTTTTTTGTGTCTGTCAGAGGTCTCAACCACCAAAGACTGGCCTGCAGTTGCATGCTTATGCACCAGTGTCTGACTTGCAAGCAACAGCAATTAAAATAGGAAATTAATTTCATCTTATCAAACCATCCAAACCACCAAGCTCTGAGCTGTACATGTTCACCACATAAAGACCACTGCAAAAGTCAGTTCCCATGCATCTACAGTACCACTATCACATGCACCCAGTTTCTCAGTACAGCTGTGAGTGTACTAATAAAAAGCTTCACACCACAACAACCAGCTTTTGAAAGCACCCTTAGGCTTATTTTAAAACTGAACCTTTTTTTTACTTTTGTTAAAGACTTACTGATGTCTGATCCAAAAGTTGAAAGTCTCTTTAAGCTAGGTCTGATCCTAGCTACTGATATTCCTGATCATTTATTATTGCAAATTTAAGTCAACCAGTCTTGAAAATCTGTCAAAATCAAGCACTTTATATGTATCATGGCTAAACACGGTTTGAATGTGTCTGCACATAAAAGATGTCAAAGTGTTGTGCTGGGTGTTGCTGATGTTAGCAGTGCCAGCACCTCCAGCCTTCAGTCCTTCCTGTACTGGTTATCTGCCATTTTAACTTATATAACAATTACTGACTTAATCTTAATCTGTGAATAGAAATATCCCATTTGGGACAATAAACTATCTATCTACATAAAACTTTATCTCCATTTACGTTAACAAACCCCTGCGGATACGCTCCATAACATGAGATGCTGTCCGGCCACTGTGCTTGTTTACATCCAGTTAGTAGAGCTTTGGCAGTAGCCATTAACCAGAGCTGAATTTTATGTTGACTGAGATGCTGTTATGTACGATACATTTAACAACCTCAAATCACATAGTTAGAAGGCCATTGATAATTTGGCATTTATGGTTTGGTCATTTTTATAACCTCAACAAAACGTGTGTATGATCACACAACCTGATTTCTGCTTCATTTGAAGATCCTTGCAGTATATATCGTCTTTTTGCATCTTATTTAAAACATATGAAGGACCTAAGCTAGTGAAGAAACTTTAAATGGTGTAACGTAAAGTTTAAGAATAAGACTCATTGGATTTAAAATAGCCCCAGCATGTTATTTCCTGAAAACAACTTCAGTAAATAAGCTGCAGTATATTCTAAACGTAAAAGAATAGGAATTACACTTTATTTTTTTGGATATTATGTGGGCATAAATCCACAAGGTCGTTGTTAGGTGTGCGCCATCGGAAGGGCGACCACGTGGGACGAAGCAATCTCCCCCCTTTTCCCCCTCCTCTCTCTCTTTCATTCACACACACACACACACACACACACAACTACACTTTTACACCTCATCCACAAGCCTTGCTTGATAATGTTTGTTTGCTTAGATTAGTTTATAACAGTTATTGGTTTGATTAAGTTCATTGATTTTGGATTGATGTTGCTTTGTTGAAATAAATTTTAAGAGAGCAGTTGTTTGTGATTACTGGTGTATTTGCATTGTGATATAAGCTGGCTTTGTGTACGGATTTCATGCCTTCAATGTATTAAATATAGTTATTAATTATTAATAATATTATTAATTAAGTAACTCATTTGAGACTGATTTGAGTGATATTTTGGTTATATTTCCCTGATTACAGGGTGGTGCCCCAAGAGAGATTAAACATAGTTTAATGATATTTTTTATTTAGATTATTAATAATTATATATAATATAATTATTAAAGAATATAACCAAAGTTGACTTGATACAACCCTAACATAGGCCTACATCACCACAGCAAAGTCAGTTTCCATCTGTGGAATGAAATTTCATGAATTCATTCCTCTTGATAATTTTGTGGATATATCATTTAATTCTGTCTTCCATCCAAGGGTAATTCTTCTTTTAGGTCTGTGTAGATGTAATGTGTTAGAAACCTCATAGCAGCTGAGCTATACTTGGATTGGAGCCAATTGTATGTTGTGAGCTTAAAAGGAAATTTGATTCTCTGAGGAAGGAATTTGTAGGCTCTTCCTTCCAACAATATAAGCAACACTGTTAACATGAAAACTCTGTCATCAGTTTGTGTTCTGTTGTGTTGTCAGGAAACGGCCGAATAAATGGACGAAAGATAATCTACAGTCTGTTTCACGATTTTCTCATTGAACATTTACAGAACAGAAACACCCCCACCTAACACCATCCATCTACACTAGAACTATCACATGCACTCAGTTTCTCAGTACAGCTGTGAGTTTTGCTAGAATGTACTAGCTTCAACCCACAACAATCAGCTTTATAAAGCTACTCATCATAAAAGCAGAGGAAGGCGTGCAGCTGAAAACGAGCTGGAGACACATGTTCTTTATTCTTATTGTAAAAACTGAACCTGTTTTAACCACAGTTAACTTTTGTTAAAGACCCTGGAAATTGCTTCAAACTAATGTCTGATCCAAAAGTTGAAAGTCTCTTTAAGCTAGGGCTGATCCTAGCTACTGATACTCCTGTTCATTAAACGCAAATTTAAATTTGTCTTAAAAAAAACTGTCAAAATCAAGCACAATACAAACAAACATGGCTAAACACGGTGTGATTGTGTCTGCACATAAAATATGTGAAAGTGTTGTGCTGGGTGTTAGCAGTGCTAGCACCTCCAGCCTTCAGTCCTTCCTGTACTGGTTACACCTTGCCTTCACAGACTGGTTATCTGCCATTTTAACTTGACACAATATATGCTTCCTTGCAGGAGGTCTGTTGTATAAAGAGAGACCTCAGTCACACACTAACTAGAGCACAATGAGGAACAGTATCTTGATAACAGCTTCACTTCTCGGTAAGTGGTTAACTCCTCACCTGTGACTGAAGTCATTACTTTTAAAACAATAAATAAAACAAAAAGTTTGAAATCCTACTATCTTGTCAGCTTAAGGATTAACACTTCTGTTTGTTTCAATTTGGATCTCTGTCTCAGGTTTGAAGTCTCAGACTGTGGGGGTCCAGTCTGGTGATGAAGTCACACTGCAGTGCTCCAACTTTTCCAGTACTTACACACAGATCATCTGGTTCAGACTGAACAGAAGTGAGCCTCGCTGCATCTCCCATATGTTTAGGTCTTTTGAACCTGCTACATTCTGCAGTGGATTCAAAGATGGAAAATTCAACATGACATCAAACATTTCCACTGTCTTCCTCAACATCAAACAAGTGGATTTGTCCGACTCTGGACTTTATTTTTGTGGATATTATTTGAGCAGATATCCACTGATTGTTGATGCAACATTTTTAGAGGTTCAAGGTAAGTTCCCTTCAAAGTTTGGTCTGTCTTTTTATTGATGCAGTCCCTGAAAAAAAAGGATTTTGATGGCATCAGCTTAACTTTAGATACAATTTTAAGAACTTAAAGATATGGGCCTTAAAACACTTGTGATATACTTTAAATTTTGTGTTCTTCCTGCCTTCCTGTCATGTTGTTTGGTCCATTTAAATATAAATCAGATCTCAAGCAACTCAAGGTCAAATGTACAGTGTCTAATTAAATGATCTTTTTTTGTAGAAGTGAATTATGAAATGACAAAGCTGGTGATCGTGGTCCTGGTCGGTTTGGTGGTTGTCATGGGGATGATCATCATTTGTCTGTCTGTTAAAATCAAATGGCTTCACAAAGGTAATCGTATTTAGTTGATTTAACCTATATGACAGACAAAACCATATAATCCTATTCTACAAACTGCATCAAAAACAGTGTTGTGCCATGTTGTACATCGAAGTTTACCACACATTGTTTCCCTCATATAGCTCATATTGAAGAACAGGACCCACAACAGGACGAGGTAATGTTTAATGTGTCACTAGCTTTACCGAAACTTGTGCTTCATTTACCTAAAGTTGTTTGAAAGTTAATCATTTAGTATTCTTATGTGAGAAGAGTGACTGAAAAAAACTTCTATTCACAGAATCTCGGGGCAGACAGCCTGATCTATTCCGCTGTGACTTTCCGTCCAAAAACCGAGCAAAACCTCAGGCCTGACCCCAACAGAGAAGACAACAAGAGTTGTATTTATTCAGGCACCAGATAGACTCAGGAAGCACCTGCAACCGCAGCTAAAATAGAACAAATAGGAACTGATGCTTTATAATTAATGTGATGGTGTGTTTCAAAGTGGTTGCTAGAAGTACAAAACAAATTCAAATAATGTCGAGAGCGAGCCTGAGCAAACCACTAGGCCAAACACGTTGTTCATTCCTCATAATTATCAAATAGAAAGCTCTTTGTGATGATGAATGATTCCTACATCCTCCCCACAGCACAAACAAACTGTTGGGGATCAATTTTTGGTCTGACTTTCCTTTCTTTGTCAATGCCAAGGTCATCATTTTGATTGTTATGCTGATGATACATAGGTTTATCTGTCCAATGAACTATATCTTCTTTTGTTTAGTTCATAATATTTATTTGTTTCATTGAGTTTCATAGATTTTGAATGATGTGGCTTTGATTAAATATATTCTGTTACAATTTAAGAAAGCAGTTGTTTGTGATTGTAATACCGCTGATTGGAGAGCTTGTGTACGAGCCTAAGCCTTCTGTTTATTTAAATACAGGACTTATTAAATATGAATAATTTTACTATTTAATTGATTTGAGACTGATTTTGGTGATATTTGGTTATTGTTCTCTGATATCAGAGTGGTGCCCCGTTTTATTAACTCAGTTTAATAATGTTGTTAATTTATATTCATAATTAATTAAGGATAATTATTAATATAAATTTATATAACCAAAGTTGACTAGAAAAGAACTGACATAATTGTTGCCTGCGTATTAGCTCTGCAAAACCCCAACAGTGGCAATTCTAAAATATGGTGGGGCCCTAGGCAAAAATCAATTGGGGGGCTCTCCAACCATTTTGTCTGCCAGTGTCCCGACGCTTACGTCTTTTTTCCCGTTTATTTTTTCTCTCCTACAGACGGATCATTCCTCTTCAAATTTCTGTGTTTACTTTCATTGACAAACTTTGGTTTTCACTGTCAATAATGAAAATTTTGAGCCACTGCTTGGGTTTAAGTTTGTGAGCCACTCCGGGGGCACCTACTGGTCTGGGGCCCCCAGATTTTTGTGAATATTATAGGGGCAGAGATCCAGTGAATGTTGATGCAACATTTTTAGAGGTTCAAGGTAAGATCCCTTCAAAGTTTGGTCCGTCTTTTTATTGATGATGGAATCAACTGAACCTGATAAAAGGTAAAGAACTTTGAGATATAGGCTTAAAATGTACAGAGTCTAATTAAATGATCTTTTTTTGTAGAAGTGAATTATGAAATGACAAAGCTGGTGAACGTGGTCCTGGTTGGTCTGGTGAAACTTCAGACATGATGTAGGCTGTATATTGTTTTAAATTTATTTTCACAATACTACTTTGACCTGTTTTGACTGATCTTTACAGCCACAGTTCATAATTCGTTAGTCACAATAGATAAACATGATTTTTATTCCCCTGTATGATGGTTGACTTTTTAGTTGGATAAAAAATGCATTTCATCAATAAGGTTCTAAGAAAACACTTACATGCAACTCAAGGCTTTTATCACCAGAGGGCGCTGTTTCCCAGCTTCTAAGGTGTAAAACTGTTAGTGAGGAGGACTTTCTCAGTTTGAAGAGAAAATGAGAAATGTTCTTCAAACAAATATATTATTTAAATTAAATGATCAATCTACGCACACTTTTAATGTAAATACTGAACACTCTACCTCATGTAAATTAACCCATCTGTCACATTTTATTATCATGTTACTTCAGCATCTTTTGCACTACTCACCACTGCACTGTTTCTTATTTAGTCTTGTACATATTAGTGCTTATTCATGTTTATTGTTGTACATAAGAGAGCACAGTTCACTGAAGTTAAATTCCTTGTGTGTGTGTGAGTGTGTTCAATGTGTTTATGTTTTTAGTTTGGAAATAATATTACGAGGAAAGAGCCTTACTAATGTGCTATAATGGCCAGATAACACTTCAGTGTCGCCAGCAGGAGGCAGTGTTGTGCTGGGCTTCTCCCATGTATGGACTCTCTTTGTTCCTGGACTCTCGTTGTTCTGCTTCCTCAATGTAGGGAGGAAGCTGAACTGAAAAGATGCACAGTTGTCTGTATCGTACTTTTCTTCTGTTTATACAGGTTTGTATGATTCAAACACATGTATAAATGTATATAAATAATGGTTAACACAAAGGAAACACGCTACATTGGTAAATGTAGTTGAACTTAATGTGTTTGTGAACAAGTAGAGACAGTAGCGGAGCGAGTGTGGGGGCAGTGATGGGGGCCCACTGTTGTCTCAAGGGGCCCACTTTGAGCCAAATTTAACATGCATTTTGTTATTTAGTGGAATTTTCGAGTAAAGTTAGTTTGACTAGCTCTGAGTCTCTCTTTTCTTTTGCCGCAATCAAGACACACAATGTATTTTGTAGAGCAGAGAGGGGCCACCCTCCACTGCCAAGGGGGTTCTCAACTTCGGCAGCAAACAGCACCAGCAGGGTGCTGTGGCCTGTTTGTAATGTCATTGATTCCACCTCTTAGCACCCCCTTTGCTGGGCCCCTGCTGCTGTCTGGAGTTTTAAAAACCTAGTTGTCTGCCTGCTTTATTTCTGTTTACCTCGCAGTTTTTCGTAACATTAAAAGTGTAAAAAACTAAATAAAAAATGTTTTCTCATTGACAACTCAACAACTCAACCTGGCAAGTCTCCTCCCGTTGCTAGCTCCACTAACGTAAACGAAACTAGCCAAGCAAATAAACATGTTAGCGAGGAGCACCCAGCTAGCTCCGTGCAGGAAAGCAACGGTGTTGATGAAAACTTAATTGGTAAATTGTTTCATCATGATTTGAGATTACGCTTAGATGCTGGTCTTTTGTTTGTGGGTGCATGTGTTGTAGACCGCCGTGTCTGCTTGGTTATCGTACTGAACGGCAGGCCATTGCTGTCACACTGTTTACAAAGTTTGTTGTAGTGCGTGGGTTGACAATGTGTGGTTTTATTGTATTGTCTGTTTGGCTGTGTGGCTGGATGAGCATCCAACTTCACTGAATGTCAAACTGTAGTTGCCTTCTATCTTTGGTTTCCCGTCCGGCTAATTAAGTCTGCTTTACTTGTTTAATCGGTGGAATATGCGCACAGACATATCAGCACTTGTTCTGCTTAAACATCAGCAGGTCACTCACTGATAAGTCCCTGTCACTGTAATAGCACCCTTTGTAATCTGCAGTGGCATTTCTCTTCGTCCCGCCCCGTCTTGTATCTCCATACAGCCGATACTATACTGTAAATGCTATACTATATTACTATATAGGCTACAGCATATGCTATATAGCCTATAGAAAGTTTAAGGGCCCACTATTGGTCCCCGCCCCCTCTGCAATGACCCATAGGCTCTGCGCCTGAGTAGAGACGATGCTAACGTTACCGTGTGCGGTCCAAGATGGCGCCGGCGATCATCACGTCTTTTTTGTTGATTTAAATTAGCTCCTGCACATCTCATTTGGAAACAGATATTATATTAAGAATGTGAAGAAGTGTTCTGAAGGTTATGGATGGTGTTGTTATTGTCATATGTGTATGTTTTCAATGTTATAAGGAGTTGCAGTTGTCAGTCTTCAGTACTAGGAGCAATGTGCTAGTCTCTCTTTATTTACGCCTGTGAGTAATGTTACATTAAGGGAACTTTTAATAGCCCGGGAAATTATCCAGGTGAGGTCAACATTCTCCTTTGTTGGTCGACAGTTTGTATTGTGTTTATTTGTGATGTTGTGAATTCTGTATTAATGATGCAATATTAGAATACAAAGCACAAAGTGTCAGAAAATGAAGCATTTATTTTGAATCCTGATGAATAAAACTCTACGGAGAGAAGCTGAACTGAAAAGAAGCACAGTGGCCTGTCTCATTCTTTTCTTCTGTTTATACAGCAATCTTATCTGCATATGGGATCTCAGTTTGAGACCTGTAACATAAGCATACCTGGCCAATAAAGCTAATTCTGATTCTGAAAACTGCTTTGCATTGCTAAGTGTTGGTCTTAACCTAATCTCAGGTTGTCAGCCACAAATAGATGTGTTTTGATTAACGTTGATACTAATGACAATGATGATGACTTTTTAATCTGACTGAGTTACAGCATTTTATCCTAAATTAAGAAATGTGTCTTAAACTTTAGGGGCCTATTTTTTTGTAAATTCAGTCAGCTCCGCCAAAACAAACAAAATGACCCCTCACTCAATCACTTCCGGGTCACTTTCTGCATTTGGTACGTTCCCTTTAGGTCAAGAATCTGTACTTTGCAAAAGTGTTCTGCCACTTGTAAATTTGTAAAAGTGTTTTGGTTTTGTAATTTTGTTTTATAAAATGCAAAAAACGTTTTTCAAAATGTAAATTTGTCTCAGATTTTGTAAAAGTGTTTCTCACTTTGTAATTTTGCTTTGCACTTACCAGCCACCATATTAATAATAATATAATGCAGCCTCGTATTTCAGCAAAATACTGTGGTAACCTTTACTCCTAAGAAGGACCAGTCGACAACTTTATGTCTAGATATTCACTCTTTATATTGAATGGAAAGAGTTTGTTACAGAATATGAACGAGACGGCAACGTGCTGCAATCAAGGGTAAAAACGAGTGACATTCAAGTACACACCAGAAAATAGGAAAACCCATACTCAAACAAAAACTAATAACCGAGTTATTTATCATTCTCACGTTACAACAAATACCATAATAATAACGGCTATCAAAAAAACAAAAACGATGTAAAGACAAGAAACTTTCACTGGATTCTAGCTCCTCATGTCCCTGGCTGTGGTCCTGAGAATCTTCAGCAGAGTTTACTATATAGTTTTTGAGATAAGTAAAAGTAAGTTCCCCTCAAACTGCATTGAGTCGTTTTAAATGTGTAGTAAGATTATTTTATTTTGAATAATCTGTGACAGGTGACAAGAAACTTTCAATGAATTCTTGTTCATCATGCCCTGGCTGTGGTCCTGAGAATCTTCAGTAGAGTATACTGTATAGTTTTTTAAATAATTAAACGTAAGTTCTGCTCAAACTGCATTAGGACGCTTTGATATTTTAGTCATATTTGATCATTTTATTTTGAAAAATATGTGACAGGTGACAAGAAACTTTCAATGGATTCTTTTTCAGCAGATTTTACAGTATAGTCTTTGAGATAATTCAAGGTAAAGTCTGCTTAAATTGCATTAAGACGCTTTGATATTTTAGTCATATATGGTCTTTTATTTTGAAATATCTGTGACAGGTGACAAGAAACTTTCTAGCTCCTCATGTCCTGGCTGTGGTCCTGAGAATCTTCAGCAGACTTTACTGTATAGTTTGTCAGATAATTCTAGGTAAAGTCTGTTCAAATTGCATTGAGTGGCTTTAAATGTGTAGTAATGATTATTTGGAACACTTTATATTAAGGTGCTTGTAATAAGCTGTAACTAATAGGTAATAAGTCACTTATAAGATGTTATAAGACCTTATAAGATTCTTATTAACACAAATAAGACTATATAAGTGTTAATAAAGGCATAATTAAAACCTTTATTATGTCTTATAAGACACTTATGGCTCTTATTAGAAACGTATTAACAGTTTATAAACCACCATAAACATTAATAAGATGTTTATTAACATTTATAAGACTTTATAAGGAAATATAAATCCTTGTACAGATTAATAAATACTTTATTATGCACTTATTAAGAGCTAATAAAGCTCCTCTGCAGGTTGTATTGAATTGAATTGAATTGTATTGAACTTCCACTCAAACAGTTTTTGAAAAAAAAAATGCTACTACAAATACAAGTATTATCTTTAACGTTAACTGTAAACAACATTATGAAAACATTTGTGTGTCATAGCTACCAACATATCTGATCAAATTCAGGTAAAAAGCATAGTTGTTTTTAACCCATGTTACTGTAAAAAAAAGTGTTGAAGGTGGACAAACATCAGAAGACTAGGACACCTTGAGCCCAAGGTCTGAATACCAGTCAAGAGGCGCACACAGGAATACATTTTGAAACTTTGTATGTAAGGAACACAAATATTGTGTTCCTTACATACCATTCCTTACAGGCGTCGTGTTCCCAAAGAATATGAAGACTTGAAGAAGTGACAATATTTTTAAAGTCAAATTTAAAGACATGAGAGGTGAGAATCTAGTCAGTGATGAACAAACATCAAACTGTATCACAGCTCCTCCTATCAGAGGTCACACTTCAGACTCAACGCTCACATTAACATCACTTCTGTCTTTTTAAAAGACATTTTGTAAAGTGACTCTTGTACAGTCTCATATCAAAACATTTACTCTGCTAAAGGATGCATCATTTTTTAGAGGTAACAAATGACAGAAAAAAGCACAGCAGGGGACTTTCCCATCTATTTCCACTGTCATATACATTTCAACCAACTCCTTCATCCCTCACCTAACACAAACTGACCAACTGAATCTCATAAGATGTGTCTGTTTCTGTCTTCATGTGTATGAAAATGATGGCTGCACAGCTGTTGATGGGATGAAGTAGCTGATTACACTGTGAAGACTGGGGTTGATGAGGAAGATGGGCGATGCTGTGATCTGAGGCTGATGGATGAAGTGTCTGACCAAACTGTGAAGACTTGGTGGTGATGTGGAGGTGGAAAAACACACGTCACAATGGCATGAATGATCTGGTGGAAGAGAGAAAGCCACATTTTAAAAAAGACAGCAGCAATATGACAGGCTAACCATGAGGTAGTGGAGCAGTGCTATTGGATAGATGTGAACAGCCGATGAAAATGATTGCGCATAAATGAAAGAGCTATGTGATACAGAATACATGATGTAGGAACATTACGTCAAAACTGTTCATATTACTGTAGACTCCTCCTCCTCTTATCTTACCTAAACCTAACAGAGTATGTTAGATTGTGAGAGTCGCTGCAACATGGAACTAAAACAGAGGTTTTTCCTCTATTGAAAAAAATGAACACATTTCAACTTCTCAATATTAAAGACATACTTCTGACAATGTTTTCCTGATGAGTACATTTCATTTAAAGTTAAACACCTTTCTCTATCTGTGCACAGAGTGTTATATGTTTGAACTTTGGTGAGGGAATCATTTGAAATAGCATTTTTGAAAAATGTTAAAGGGCGGAGCTCTGAACAACTCAATATCTGTGTCTTGACTTACTTTACTTGCAGCATGTTTGACATCACATACAGGAACAGGATAAGTGACATCAAACACCCCTCCTCTTTGCCCTATGGTTCTCTTTTCTGCTGCTCTCTTCAAAATTACAGACACTTCAAAGCCACAGTCATACGCACAACGATGAACCAAGCGCTGATAAAAGCTTTCCTTCTCTGCAGCCTCAGTAAGTGTTTCATTATTTGTGACTTCATTGATATGTTTAATATTGTTTGATTCATCTGCATTAAATGCATCTTATCCACTTATCTCATATTTGTTAACTCATGTGAAGAGAAGTGTTTTACCTTCAGGTTCTGACTCTTAATATCTCGGTCACTCATCTGTTTGTTCCAGGTTGGATCTCTGTCTCAGGTTCTGAGTCTCAGACTGTGGAGGTCCAGTCTGGTGAAGATGTCACACTGATGTGCTCCGGCATGGACAAACATGTTTCAGTCAGATATTGGCTTAAACTAGTCAAAGGAACCGACATCCAATGTGTCTCTACTATGACCAGTCATAACAGTGAAGTGACATATCATGATGGATTCAGTAATCATACATTCACTATGTCGTCCAACACCTCTACTATCTTTCTCAAAGTCCGTTCAGTGGAATTAAACGACTCTGGAATTTATTACTTTGGATTTAACAAAGATGGACGTCCATTTTTTACTACGATACATCTAAAGATCAAAGGTAAGATTATTTTAAAGTATTCTTCTTCTCTCTGTTCCCATTATCACATTATTATCTTTATCCGCTTATGTTAAAAAAAGAAAAGAAAAGAATCTTAAAACATCTTCTATCAGCAAATTGTCTTTTATATTTTGATGTAAATCAGTTAAGATGAAATCCTTCTCTAATAGGCAGCAGTGACGCTCATAACAGCATGAACAACAACTCTACAAGTAATATTCTCCAAAAGTTTTCTTTATTCAACAGACTTCTGACATTTTAAATCCTTCATGTTAAAAAGCTAGCTGAATTTGAAGTCTCCAAAGGAAAACAGAGTCTGAAGCAATGATCTGTCTCTGTAGAAGAGTCTAATGGAACAGCAACTAAAGACCTAAGCTTCTTTAAATATGTTTAATAGGAAGCAACGAGGACGATGAAGACATGGAGACGTTTAGTTTGATCCTGTCAGGTTTTAAAGTCTTCAAAAGGAAAATGTATTCTGACACAATGATCTTTCTTGTTGAAGAGTGTGATGGAGCAGCGACTCTGGTGAGCATGATCCTGGGTGCTTTGACTCTTTTGCTTGTCATGGTGGTCATCGGTCTGGGTGCTAAAATTAGGAAACTTCAGACAGGTATGTTATAATGTACTTATTATTGCATTTATGGTCTTTAAGTTTACAAAGACAACGTTCAATGAACCCTAACCTCTAACCAAGATGTTTTATTTTGTCACTCAGCTGCTGAAGAAAGACAGAATCCAGGACACACTGAGGTAAATACAACTCAATTTACTTTAACACAGTTTGTGATTGAAGAATAATGACATGATATTCATTGGTGTTAATTTAATGTGTTCCTGAAATATTTGTGTATTGATAGACTTACATAATTCTTGTCCATATGCTTTAGAGGAACAGTATGTAAATTCTGCCACCAGGGGCTCTCATGTAAAAACAATAATAAAAGATGATGTTGAGGCTGGCAGGAATCATGGGAGTGATTCTCTCTGTTACTTGCCCGCAGACTCAGAGTTGACCATACGAAACAGCCTGAGAAGAGAATATGTTTATTGAGGAGTTAAAGTATCCAAGTATAATATACATTGCATTTTTATCACAGCAGCACATGCAGCAACAGTACAGCAGCTTTTAGTAGCAGCTCCCGATTTCCTTTTGCAGCGGGCTTTGGTGTACCATCCAATGTTTCCAAGGCAACAATAAACTTGTCGTCCCAACAAGACACGTCCTGTTACAACTATTAAACTAAGGATTTCTCTGGCTTGATAACTGTTGGTCATATTTTAAGAACGTTGTCTCTTCTGGGAATAAAAGTCATTTCAAGTGAACACATTATGACTGTAACTATTCTCTTTACAGAATGTGACCTCTGATGAACTGAACTACGCAGCAGTGACATTTCGATCTAAAGCCAAAAGAAGAAGAGCCGGAGCCAAATGTCTTGTATGCTGCTACCAGATAGAGTGAGGAGGCGGCTGGACATGATCTTGTATCATCATTATTACAATGCTTTGAGCTTTTGCATGGCTTGATGGTGAGAGTTAGTTGAATTATCATCTGAATATTGCTTTTACTTACTATTTACTTTTGCTGAATCACACACTGTCTGTGGCTCCCTGCATCTCTTTTGTGATGTGTTTTTGAAATTCCTACATGTCATCATGTGATGCTTTAGGTAGATGTTTTTTTTAAATGACTCGTTTTTATGTGCTGTACTGAAGTTGGTTTTGACATCGTTCATCACTTATATTGTGTTTGTATGCTCTCAGTGCAAGGCAATTCCCCTAGGGGCAATAAAGGTTTCATTCATCCATTAAAAGATCGAGTTATGTGATGAGTTGCCATCTTTATATGTCCCTTGTATCCCAAATCTTCATAGCAATGGTCTGTCCCTGTGACTTTTTAATGATTGTGATGAGTTCAGAAATAGGAACATTGTCTGCAGCACTTCTGTCTGCAGAAGTAGATGAGAGAA